CTAGTGGCAAATAGCTACTAGTAGCTCCTGGCCTTACTACTAGGAGCCTTTTCCACCTTTTCCTGCGTAAGTCTGCTCTGCTCCCTTTCCTCCGCTGGCTTCCGTCAGTTCCTTGTCGCGCGACCATGGACATGCGTCCCCTTTGGGACAGTTTCCATGATCCCGGAAGTGAAAGCAGAGTTTCGTGGACTTCACGCCAGCAGCACCAGAAGCTTCGGTTTCGGCTTTTTCTCCTCCTCGGAATGCTTCCCACCTAGCGGCGGCTGCCCCGAACCCATGCCAGACGTGTCTGATCCTGCAACAGATTGCGCTTGTTGCCCACGTGGACTTCCTTCTCTTCTTTGCTTTCAGCAAACACCTGGTGTTTTTCCTTGATCCTGGTGTACACCGTTTCAAGGTTTGACAAGATCTCACTCACCACTCCGCCACGCAGCTCGATAGATGTTAGTGAAGGTCTTAAGCCTGCTGCCTCTGACTCTGCACCAGGCGCGCAAGGCGATCAACTGCTCACGGTAGCATACCTTTGCAGTTGTTGGCTAGGGAGCAGCAATCTTCAAATTCTTCATAAAATTGGGCTACATCTCTAGACTCAGAGCGATCGTCGCCTAGCATGGGTCAATTCACATCAGTTTTCACTGATGTAACACTAGTCAATCCGCCCTTCGCGGTCAAAGTCTCCTTCAACACCTTTGTTTGTGCTTCCAAGGCCGCAGCAAGCTCTCCTCAACCTTCGGACCCGCGTATGAAGCCTCCAATTCCATTTCTAGGGCGGCGACCTTCGCGCGCAACGGCGAGTCTCCTCCGCTTGTCGCATGCTTTGCAAGTCCAGCGCGCCCAACTTCCTTCAGCGACACCGCAGCTCGAGTCGGAGAGTCTAGAACGGGGCCTTCCACCCAACGTGCGCTGAACAACTTGTCGCTCTTGGAGCTCTCTTTTCCACCAAGGGCACGGATCACCTGCCCAAGGACTTCTGCCTTCATGGTCTTCTCTCCATCAGAAAGATCGGAATCCAGCGCGACGAGCGCGAACCTGTCCCGCGAAGTTCGAACTAGGGCTCGGACATCCCAAATGCCCACCTGGTCGTCCTGGATGATCTCGGCCTTCAGCGTGACTTGATCCAGGTCTTCAGTCTTGACCTCGCGCCCTAGAATCTTCCAAGCCATCACCAAACGGATGATCCTGGCTAAAAGCGCTCCCATCTCTTCCTGGTCCGGGCGGAACAACTGATGCATCTGTTTCAACAGCTCCTCCACATCAGCTGCTCCGGTTCCGGCTGAGGACGGGCGAGGACTGGATCCTCCAGCTCCAGTCCAAGACTACGCTCAGGCACTGCAAGGGCCGAACCAGCCACCGGCTCCAGTTCAGAGAACTCTTCATCCTCCTCCTCCTCACTATCATCCTCTCCATAGTACTCTGCCATAATGGCCTTCCACAAAGCTACCTCCTCACCTGTAGGCAGCCCTCGCCCATCCCTTCTCCTGGTTGGGCATCTTCCTGACCTTCGTCGCCAAGCCTGCCACTTCGGGAAGGACATCTTATCCGGTACTGGGACGCGACCATCCGCTATGCACTCCGATAGGGTCACGCCCTCATCTTCTCCAGCAACTTCTTTACTCATAGCGCGTCTCACGACCGCAGCTTTCCCAGAACAGCCCCCAACTGTGAGCAGGGACAACTAGTCTTGGAAACCTGTCCAAACGCAGCTGCCCAACTGTTTTCTGCTCAAGAGTTCCGGGTCGTGTGAAACGGCACGTGAAGCTGCTGGCGCTCTCTTCCGCGCACAACAGCCACAAATGAACGCTCTGTTCACTTGAGCCAAAAAAAATGTGTCGCGAAACAACTGTACACACATGCAAGAACAAAGAAACAAAGGCTGGTAGGGACTGTCACAGACTAGTACCTACTAGTACCTGCTAGTACTTACTAGTACCCACTAGTAGTACTGACTAGTACTTACTAGCACCTATTGTACTGACTATATAGTACCTAGTACCTACTACTAGTACTGACTAGTCTCTATTTCTAGTGCTGACTAGTACCTACTACTAATACTGACTAGTGCCTACTAGTACTGACTAGTACCTATTTCTAATACTGACTAGCGCTACTAACTAGTACTAGTACTTGTAAAATACAGCTGTGTCTTGCTTCCCACCTCCGCTTAGTTCTATTCGTTCTCGCTCCTCAATACAGCTGAGAAAAGGATCACCAAGCTCACAACATGTTGAAGGGGCTCAATAAGCAGTCCTCCGGAAGGTCAGGTTTCAAATCTGTCGTTAGTGGGATGGCCTGAAGTAATTTTTGAGCACAAGAACAAACACAATGACACAAACCTGACAAACAAATGTTAGTATTTCATCTGAGGTCCCAAACGCACCAAGTTGAACCTTCAAGGCGGCCCAAAACCGCCCTGGAGTCACCCACCTCAGACGTTCAACACAATTCAACACAAACAAAGCGAACACTCTTAAATAACATCAAAGTGGCATTGGCCATCGTCAGCATTCTTTGGCCTTTCGTGGCACCATGTTTCATCGAATTGAGAATAAATCACACCCTATTTGTTTAACTGAATCGTGTTTCTCGATGTTTGAACGAATCAAAACATTTTGCCGTGCGCGAAGCAGTGCAAACGGCGGCCTTGGTCCAACATCGCCACCACCCCAGTTGACCCGCTGTACCTGCAGTCAACCAAGACAGCTGAGCTGGGGATTCTTTGTTGAAATTGCAACAGAACGGACAAAGGACACTCGACATCAGCCCCCATGCTGGCAAAGATGTCGTCGTCGGTGTTCCGAAATGCACCCTGGTAAACTCGTGAATGCTTGGCCGATTGACGACAAGAAAAGAAACAATAGATGACAAAACATTGAAAACCGAATGCCGAAGTAGAAAAACAATTACTCCAGCATAGACCCCAGATAGCAAAAGCATGCAAAAAAATTTCTGGGCTGCGCCCTGCATTGGCAGCAGCTCCAATTTTTACACGCAATACAGCGTGGCGTGTCTCCACTACGCGCACAGCCAGCGCCAGCACCCGGCGCCAGCGCCCAATCTGCACCACGCACACAACGAACACCAGCAACCCGGCGGCACCGCACAGCCAGCGCCAGCACCCAGCACCGGCGCGCCAGCTCACAGCACCACACGCGCACAGCCAGCACCCGGCACCCTGTCTCCAATATCCACCACGCGCACAGCCAGCTGACAGCACCCAGCACCAGCACCCAGCACCCACACCCTCTTTGCACCACGCGCACAGCCAGCTCACAATCCACCACGCACACCCAGCACCCAGCAACGGCGCCCACTGGCACCCTGTCTCCATTACGCGCACAGCAGGGTTGCGCGTACAAGTTTACGCGCGCAAAAGTATATGCACAAAGCAAAGCCCGTAGGCCTCACTCGCCCAAGGCCAAGCAATAGCCAGCATGACTATTATTGTGCGTGTAGTACGCTGAAACATGCTGAAACAATGGTCGGTTGAGAGCCTGACGGTGCGCATACAACATTATACGTACAAAAGTATGTGCGCAAACAGCACAGCCCTTGACGCAGCAACACCGTATATGATGTTGCGTGCATACAGCCAGCTCACAGCACCAGCACCAGCGCCGGCACCCAGCAACCCACCCAGCACCGGCACCCGGCACCCAGCACCAGCACCGGCACCAGCAACCTGTCTCCACCACGTGCGCAGCCAGCTCACAGCACCAGCACCCGCCGGCGCCCGGCGCCCAGCACCAGCACCAGCAACCTGTCTCCACCACGTGCACAGCCAGCTCACAGCACCAGCACCAGCACCAGCACCGGCACCCGGCATCAGCACCAGCAACCTGTCTCCACCGCATGCGCAGCCAGCTCACAGCACCAGCACCGGCACCCGGCACCAGCACCAGCAACCTGTCTCGAAAGCGCGCACAGGCAAGTCATTGATGTTTGAAGTAAGAACCCCATAGCTTCGCTATCTGGGGAAAAATACAAAACATTAGACGTTACGCCAGCACAGACCCGACCCCAAGTAGCAAAAATTGTTGCGAGTTGCGCCCTGCAGCTGCACCAGCACCGATGTTCAAAACGCACACGGCCATAGACATCATGCAGCAGCAACGCAGCGGCACCCAATGCACGCACAGCTGTAGACATGTGGCAGCAACACCCTGCAGCAGCAACGTGCAGCCTAAGCTCCAAAGCGCGCACCGGCAGCCCCTCCTATACTTGAAGGAAAAACAACAATATTCGAAGGAGGTGCGGGGGAACAGCATTGGTGTTCATGGTTCATTGAGAGATCATCTAGACAACAACTCAAAAGGAACGCCGTGACTTCAAGCAACTTTGACGTCTGCAACTTGAATGCAAACGATGATGAACCCTCCGGAAGCGACACCTCAAACCAAACTCACCCACCCCTTCAACCAAACTCACCCCCTGGTTCTAACGTGAAAGAGAAACCACAAACATCAAACGCAAAAAGAATTACACCACCATAGACCCAGATAGCTAGGCAGAATCCATGCGCGCAACCAGCTGACACCAGCGCCGGCGCGCTCTGCCAGCTGACGCCAGCACCAGCAGCGGTACCTGGCACCCAGCACCAGCACCGGCACCCGGCACCAGCACCAGCAACCTGTCTCCACCACACGCACAGCCAGCTCACAGCACCAGCACCAGCAACCTGTCTCGAAAGCGCGTACAGGCAACTCATTGTTATTTGAAGTAAGAACCCCATAGCTTCGCTATCTGCGGAAAAATTGTGTAACCGCACACATCTAGCAAAACAACACAACTAGACGACGGTTGGCCCGAGAGCGAGACATGTAATTGTCCAGCACTGTCGAAAAGATGTATAGAAAGAGAGAAAGAGAGGGTGGATGTGAAGGAGTGACAGTGTGATGCGCAGGTGCGATATAGATCTGTAGATGTATGGAGGTGGAGAGGTAGATCTGTGGATGTGAGCGCGCGAAGATGTAAATGCACAGAGACGAGAGAAAAGATATGTAGAAAGAAAGAAAGACAGGACAGATGTGAAGGAGCGACAGTGTGGATGTACAGATGTGATCATGATATAGATGCGCAGATGTGTGGGTGTGGTGAGGTGGAGAGGTAGATCTGCGGATGTGAGCGTGTGAAGATGTAAATTTTTAAATGTAGAGAGGTGAGGGGGTGTGGACGTAGACGCGCCGATGCAACGGCAATGCAACGTCAACCTTAGTCGCGCAAGTACAACGCTGAAGAGGTTCAACTAGAACTGAAGAACATACATTTCACACTGAAGTTTCCACGAACAGGGCGACCTGAGAGTAAACGACGTCACGATCATGACAAGCGACTCGTGTCTTCCAAGCGAACATCGTTTGTCATGAAGGTGAAGTACACACATACTAACGTCACGATGCCTCTTTTGTGGCAGCCACTTATGAGTAAGCAAAGTAGCTAAAATTTGTCAACCTCTCAAGAGAGCCGGGTGGTCGGGAGACATGACTCAGCTGCAGGGGCGCCAGACCAGCCGCGAGAGATGACTCAGCCGCGTACTCAGGTTGTACTACAAAGTCGTCAGTTCTCAGCTTCCAGCTCCACAGCTTGCTCCGCGTACTAAAGTTGTACTACAAAGTCGCCAGTTCTCATCTTCCAGCTCCCCAGATACCCCGCGTACTAAAGTTGTACTACAACTTCGCCAGTGCTCATCTTCCAGCTCCCCAGATACTCCGCGTACTCAAGTTGCACTACAAAGTCGTCAGTTCTCAGCTTCCAGCTCCACAGCTTGCTCCGCGTATTGAAGTTGTACTAGAAAGTCGCCAGTTCTCATCTTCCAGCTCCCCAGATACTCCGCGTACTAAAGTTGTACTAGAAAGTCGCCAGTTCTCATCTTCCAGCTCCCCAGATACTCCGCGTACTAAAGTTGTACTACAAAGTCGTCAGTTCTCAGCTTCCAGCTCCACAGATTGCTCCGCGTACTAAACTTGTACTACAAAGTCACCAGTTCTCATCTTCCAGCTCCCCAATCGCACTCTCGCCTGCATTTCGCGCACTCGACGCGCACGATCTCCGCAGAGACCGGGGCAAATCGCACTCTCGCCTGCATTTCGCGCACTCGACACGCACGATCTCCGCAGAGGGTTGCGTTTCGCGGCGGTCCGGCGGCACTGCCCGGCCTTAAGAGAGAAAGTTCAGAAGAGCGAGAGGTGAAGATGTGAGCTGTAGATGTGAGGATGTGAAGATGAGCAGAGATGATGTGAGGATGTGAAGATGAGCAGAGATGATGTGAGGATGTGAAGATGAGCAGAGATGTAGATGTGCAGATGTGAACATGAGCAGAGATGTAGATATGCGAAGATGAAGATGAGCAGAGATGTAGATGCGCAGATGTGAACATGAGCAGAGATATAGGTGAGAATGTGGATGTGCAGAGGTGAAGATGTGAAGATGTAGATGATACGTAGTTCTGCAGATGTTTTTTACGAAAAACCCTTCGCAGACGCTCTCGGGAAAAAGAAAAGGTGGCTAACCCTCCTTCAAGAAGCACCGAAACCCAATTGGTAGGATGCATTTGGGTCACAATTCCATACTGTTTCCGTCCAAGAATACGCGCGCGAACTGTACAATTCCCAGGTTCACAGGCACCATGCACAAGCGTGCAAACATAGCAAGAACAAACCAGAAGCAAGCTACTACAAACAGCAATCTCACACACGTGTTTCACAGAACATTGTTGCACCCCGGAAAACAAAAGATGATCTTGCACGTACATGTAATGCATGTCTGTTTCCTTGTCCGTCTGTCTGTCCGTCGGTCTGGTCCGGTCCGGTCCGGTCCGTCTGTCTGTCTGTCTTTCTGACTGTCTGTGTATGCATGCGTGCGCGCAACTATGTATGTATGTATGTAAGTATGTGTGTGTATGTGTATGTGTATGTGTATGTGTACGTATGTATGTATGTGTGTATGTGTGTATGTGTATGTGTATGTGTATATGTATGTATGTAAGTGTATGTGTATACGCATTTGCATTTGCAATTTCATTTGTATTTGTATTTGCGCATGTATGTATGTATGTACGTACGTATGTATGTACGTACGTATGTATGTATGTATGTGTGTGTATGCATGTGTGCATGTATTTGTAGGTATGTATTTGTAAAAATGTGCGTGTATGTATGTAGGTAGGTATGGATGTATGCATGATCATGCATGTGTGTTTGTATGCATGCGTCTCATGTATCTATGTATGCATGTATGTATGCAAGCACGCGTGCATGTACGTATGTATGCGTGTGTGTGTGTTTGTATGCGTGCATGGGTGTATGTTATGTTATGTTGGGTTAGGTTAGGTTAGGTTATGTTGTGCTTTGTATTGTGTTGCACTCTTATGTTAAGTTGTGTTCGCTGTGTAATGTAAATGCGATGTCATGTAGATAATGTATGTAGTGTTTTGTATGCACTGTCATGAAATGTAATTTGGTGTACGTATGCATGTGTTAAGGTGGTGGGGTATAGCGTAGGGTAAGGTAATGTAGGGTAAGGTATGTATGTATGCATGCATGTGTGTGTGCATACAAAGGTATGCGTGCGAACAGTACACCAGCAACAGGCACCCTCTCTCCAAAGCGCGCACAGCCAGGCACCGGCACCGGCACGCTCTCGCGAAAGTGTGCGCAGCCAGCTCATTCTTGTTCGGCCACAAACGCCTCTAGCGCCGCGAGCAGCTCCAAAGACCACACGGCCATAGACATCTGGCAGCGGCACCCTGCAGCGGCACCAGCACTCAGGCTCCCGAAGCCAGCGGCTCGAAATGTGAGTCCAGCTATGATGGCTGCCTATCCTTCAATCCAAAACTATCAATGGCGAACGGCGACTCTAAGCTCTTAAACTCAAGCCTTCTCCGTATCACTACCTGGACAAACAGGCATGCGCAGCGTACACCCCAAGCAGGAAAGACCAAAAGAGGCGACCCAAGCGACCAGAAAACCGGAGAAAACCGGCGAAAGAGACTTCTGGGAGCCCAGAGCTCAGACTGTTTGTGCTCAGCGGAGTGCTCGCGGCCCAGAACTCGCTGTTGGCAGTGCCGCTTGCCGCTTTCCCATTCTGTCTGGGCTTCTGCGCTCTGCTTTCTTGCGATCACGTCTTTCCGGCGCGCCTTGCTTTAAGTTCCAACTTTCACCGACGCCTGACGGTATCCACTGGTAGGGTGTTCGCCGAATGTCTGCGTCACTCTCAAAGATGTTTAGTGGGTAATCCTTCTGCATCTTCTTCCCGTCATGAGTTGATGGAGCCAGAGATCATCTCTGCTCACCCAGCTTCACAGCAACAAAAGTGCCCTTTGAAAGCTTCTTCTAGCAAATCCCAAGCTTCCGCAGCATACCTTTCACCGTACATGGTGAGGCGTGCAGAATGCTTTCTCGAGGCCTCCACCTCACACTTCATGTGCTCCATCAGTCCTGCTCATGCTTCGAGGGAGCTGTAGTCAGTGAAAGTCGACTTTCGCTCTGCACTGGGAAAGCCTCGAGCCATCATCAGCCACCTTCCGCCGCACGCATGGTCCCGTCATCCGCCCAGCCATTTGTAGCGCAGAGGCCCATGCTTCGATCATTGGAATCAAGTATGCGCAAGTCACAAACCGCGTCACACCCTTCGACGAATTGGCAGTGACGTGAAATCAAAGAACGTGGTGAGACGGTGAGACCGATGACAATGTTGTGAAGTCCATTGCAACCCTGGGACGCCGATGACAAGGTTACGCAGTCGATGACAATGCTGATCAATGTTCTGGAAGCAGTGACAAGGTTATGGCATCATGAAAATGTCACGAAACCGACAAGAAAATGCTGTGACTTCCGCAAATTCCACCATTGACCCAACATCTTGCACAACAAAAAACAGTCTTACAATCTGCAATCCAGTTTTCCCAAAATCCAAAGTCCAAAAATGTCCCGAAACAAAATGGAAATCACAATGGATGTACCGAACATATACAATCGCACCCTAAACAGATACATGGTGTCCTCTTCTATCACTTTCTTGTCTCCTTTTTTTAGATCTCCACTTCTCACCTCCAAAGCTTTGCCCGGATTCTGCGAGGGATGGACTGGCTGATTGCTCAAATGCCCAGGCCTCGGAATCGGGGTGAAAGATGCACAAGGGATTCCTCTGCCTTGATTAGAGATGTGCAGCACCATATCAAACCCACACACACCTGTGCTACAATCTCGGCACTTGACATTCGGCTCGCAGCAATCTCAGAGGCCTCTCAAAAAGCAATACATCATTCGCTGTCAGTTCAAAACATTTCAGAATCCAGTATTTCTGCCGACCCCAAGGTGCGGGGAAGTGCGCAAAGAAGCAGACATATCTTCATGTACTGACACGACCACTTGTTGGTTAAGAAGGCTTCAGAAAGCCATTCGTCTTGCGCCGCTTTGTGTTCGAAGCCGCCCCAGCACAAGCCCAGAAACAGGGCTAGCCATGGCAACAGTGAATCACGTGGGATACTCATAGGGTCCAGCATCAAGAGCGGTGCTCACCTGCCCCTTGGATGCATAGGCAAGCAAACAAGCAAACCATGCTTGAACCATATCAACAAGCAGCAGCAAGGAGGTACTCAGTATGCTAGGGCAAGAGCGGCAAAACAGACTGGCAACTCCTGAGAAGAGCTGACTTCATCTCGCTCCTTCTTATCAAAGGAAGGCAAGGAGGTTTGGAGCGCTACACAGCTACACAGCATAAGGATTGCTGTTTGGCTCTCGTCGCCAATACAAGACTTACTTGCAAATGTACGTGATCAGTCTCAAGGGTTGATCTCCGACATGGTTGGAGAAGGTTCGGAACTTGGTCGGAGCCTGGTCGGAACTTTAGCAGCATAGGAATGGAACTTCTTGAGTGTTCTAGATTTAGATGGATGACAAGTAGAACTTCCTGAAATCCGTTTTGTACAGTCTCTGAAATCGGGAGATGTTTCCGCTTTGTTTCGAGAATCTTTGGTAGTTTTGTGTGTATGACTTTGTGTATATTTGGAATCCAGCTTGGTTTGGAACTCTGTTTGCAACCACAACCACAATGGCAACTGCAGTATCACGATAAAGATCTTTTTTGACGAACGTCTCCGGTGTAGCTTGTGGAACCAGATTTTGGTTCGAAAGGAGCATCAACTGCAAAACTCTATCATTTTGTTCGCTTGTCACTGTCTAGAGCCCGTGGTGTGACGAGAACAAGTTCGTAGGGAACAAAACATGCAGTTTTGTTTATGCAACGGGATTGTCTGCTGGGGACGTGAACTCAGTCATTGTGTTTACAAAAGTGCATCTTCTGTTCGTAAACTACTGCTTGTGACAGTCTGATAGTTCGCCGCCTCATGGCCCATCCGCCCGTGACCATCGAAAACACCGAAGAGGAAGACACCACCGCCACCATCTCCGTTTTCCTCACATGGACAAGCACCCGCACTAAGCTCGACTCTACAAGTACAAACCCATCAAGCACAGTAGTGACAGGTCTATCTAAACATACACACCAAAAACTCAACACAAACCAAAGTCTTTATTAAATTGCCGAATCTTTCGTCAGAATTGCTTCAACTTTTTTTGTTTCTACTCCTATCTGTTTTTTCCAGGGCACGGAGCACCCGGCAGGAAGCACAGCCATGGCCGAGTCCTCGCAAAAAACACACAACACGACTTATTGCATGCTTCCAATCTTAAAACAAACACACGCACTCGAGATAAGAGCCCGTACGGTCAGAATGCTGCTAACCCTGAAGAGGCCTGAGTGAAAAGGGTACCTGAGTAGACCAAGCAAAATCTAGGAAAGATTCCGTGGAGAAACTCAAGGGTGGATTGTGGGTTGGCCAACTGCCATCTCGGAGGAATATCTGCCAGTAAGGCTTCATACGTATGAGCTATGCTGTAAATTCTACACGCTCCTTCCTTGGTAGTGTAAGCGTCAATTAGTTTCTTTTTGAGCTCACTCTGCCGCTTTCATACAACTGTTCTACCCATTTTCTCTCAGGAACGGGGTTCATTGAGGTACCTACTCTCGGCTCTACCTCTTCTAACATCATTTCGTATTGATGTCTCTCACGATCGACCCTATCTGCTAGTTCAAACTGTCCTCTTCCTTCTAATACCCATCGCTGCGCGTTCAAGATGTCGATCTTCACTTCAAGTCGACCACGTAGTACTTCTTTCTGTTCTTCATCATATTCCATGCTGTTCACACACTCTGCACGACCTGTTTTGAATGACCTTGATCCTGGTCCATCTGAAGGAACTGCTCCTCGGGCTGCTGCCTGCAGCATCACAGTGTGTCCATGCTACTGTCCTCTTGTTGATCTCAAACCTTCAAAGCTCCTTCTGGCCAAGTAATTTCCTGCGTTCGTTTCTGCAATCATGTCATAACTCACTCTGTGTAGAGAATCTGGTTCTAGTTCTTCTACAAAGCCTCCATTGAGAATCAATCCACCATGAATTCTCCTGGTATGCCCTATGAGATTTTCTACCTGAAGTATGTCTTCTTCTTTCATGTAGATGTTGTACTCAATCTCCACCATCCTGATTTCACATTCATTCACCTTTGCACGAAGGAAATTTCTTCGCGGGCTTAAGCAATGTTTATACTTCCATAGCTTCCACATTGCGAATGTCATTGCTGCAAAACCAAAGATAATGATCATGATGATCGTGGTTTTCCCTTTTCTATTGGAACCTTTCACTTCCAACCTGCACTGGTCAATCTCTCATGGGTGTACTTGCTTCTGTAACCATGGGCTGCAAGCCCTCCAAAGTTACGATTCTGACCATTTATGTTTGCAATTTTTGACCTTGCCTGCTTAGTTCTTTTCCCTTCGTACGCCTTTCCCTCAAGCTCACCAACTCTTGTTTGCTCTTCACTGTGCCAAAAACCAATAAGGTGCATCAGAAATCTGGTCCTCTGACCTCCAAGTGTATTGATGTCTGTCATTTTGCCGTCCGTTGGTACTTGTACCGTATTCAAATCTTGTCTGTTCTGAATCCACGGCAACTTTCCATCTAAATGTCTCACTTTTCCAAATCCTCCTTTCATCACACGCTGGCGCGCACTCGAAGAATCTGTGAAGATGTAAGGGTCCACCTCTGTCCCGAGCGCAAACTCTAGACCTGAACGAATGTTTTTACCATCTGACGCTGGGGAAACTATTGCATGTAACTCTACCTCACATGAAGATAAGCTAATGATCTTCTGTGTTCTGCTGCTATTGAACAATGGACAACTGCTCAATGCATGGAAACCTCCTGATGTTGGCTTTCTATGGCTCTTGCAATCGCTCCAATCTGAATCTGAAAATGTCTCTAGGCACCAATAGCGTCACCTTTCTTCACATAGCCTTCTCCTGCCTGTGGAAATTCAACCACTAAACAATAGTCCACCGTCTTCTTCAAGTATCCTAGGAACTTCTTAAAGTGATGAAAGGACATGGTTGTTGGATTTGACATGCGTGAAGCCAATTCCTTGACCGTAAATGCTACATCGTAATACGCTAATCTTCTCTTGGTCATTCAAGACCTCTGACTTGTCCTCAATCTGAATTGAGTTGTCTGAAGGTAGTTGCTGGAGTTTGACCTTCAGCATCTGTTGGATGTAGTTACCTGGTTGGGTCCATGGTCCATCTTTCTCAAGTTTGTACTTTCTCCTCAGGAAGTTGAACTCATCACCAACCTTCTCAATTTTGCTCACACTGGTGGCAAACCTGTCTTGAATCTTTGGAAGCAAGATCTCGTTGGTGCACTTTGAACAGCCTATGAAAATCAAGTCATCCACATGATACCCTTCTCATTTCTTCCTAGGCGTGGACGCTGGACACTCAGCACTGAACTTGTAATTGAGTTTGCTCCAACTCTCTGTCCAGGTAAGTTCAATTTCACCAACAATTTTCTCCTCTCAGACTCACTTTCAAAGGCTTCTCCTGCGGAACTTGCAAGAAAGCGTCTTTCACGTCTAGACAACCTGAGAAAATAATCTTTCTCCCTCTCTTGCTTCTTCTTCTTCACTGACTCTGCAAGATGATTGTAGGTAGAAGTTTCAGTACATGACCTGAAGTCGCCGGTGAGAAAATGTCATCTCTCTTTCCTTCAGCGAGAGCAAATTCTCATGCAACTGGTCTTGATCTTCTCTTCCACATCTTGCTTGTTGTTCCATCTCCACGGTGAAAAGGTTCCTTTCTCCAATCATACACATTGCATATAGTCAGATTACTGATATGCTCCAAGAACACCCATGGGCGGCCCAGGGCAGAAGAGCCAATCTCCAGGCCGTGACCAAGCCTTTGGTTCCAACCAAAACAGGCCAAACCTGGAAAAAAGGCAAGCCTGCATTTTTGGAACAGCTGAAGGTGAGATTCCAAGTGGCCCAGAAGCAAACCGAACCGGAGGCCCAGTCAAGGGTTTCGCGCAAGCCACCAAAGATGTCCACAAGCATTGGGTAGGACCACCGACCTGGGGCCAATTCATGGACACGCGTCATCATTGGCACAAATACAGGGATCCACGTGCGGCTGATCTCATGCAGCAGACCATGAGCCACCAACACCAAGAGGCGCAACAAGCAGCACATGAAGAAGGCATGCCGCAATACAAGGAGTGGTTGCAACAAGGACAACAAAAAGGACTACGAGGACTCTTCCGGAGCTTGAAGAGCAGTGAAGTTGCTTGGGAACGACCATATAGACAAATTCCCATGCCACAGAAGATGGATCAACGTCTAAAAGACTGGAGCAACCTGTGGCACATCAAACAAGACAAGCAGCCCCATCCACGAGTCAGCCCCCAACAAGCTGTCACTGGGACCGCTGCTCCATCTGTTCCAGACCATGGAGGCTTCAGCAGAGCTACCAACACAGCTGCAAATGCACATGGTGGTCACGCTGCGCCACAAACAAAGCCACAGATCGAGCCGTCAAGGAGCTCCTCACCCCACAAGAGCCCCCAAGTGGCATCGGTCATGAGGGATCTTGGAGTTGATCACCAGGCAGCTCGACGAAGAAGGATTCCTGTCATCCGACAAAGGATGAACAAAACCAAACAGAGGAAACTCAAATTGAGGACATTGAAGATCCCTGCTTTGAAGGTCAGACTTCGATTGCATCGAGGCGGAATTCAACCTGTTGCTCTCTGCACCATAGAAGGCCAGGGCTTAGCTCCCAGATACCGTACTGCACTGAAGCAGGCCATGGCATCTGGGTCATCATGCCGGTGGTTACTTGCTAGCACCTACGACATTCACAGCAACAAGTACATGGACCCAGCTGACCAGATCCTTGCGCACCACATCAAGGCCACGCACACCCTCTACCGTGCATGGCCAACTGACCAGATGCCTTGTCTCAAACAAGCCTGGCATGAGGTCCACCAACAGCTCCAGGTCAAGCAATATCCATGGTACACAGTCAGGGACCCACGGCGGCCACTATCGCCTACATGGGAGAGTGGGAATGGCAAGTACCTGAGCTCCGACGATGCACACCCCTACTCTTGGAGGCTGAGATCTCACTTCAGGATCCATGGTGGAAGATTGAGAAGGTTCTCATGGCTGAAGCTCAAAACCAACGAAGAAGTCGCTTGGCTCAGCGACAGCATCATCAGCATTTGATCACCGGCTTGGACTGGCATGTATACCGCCAAATGGTCAAACAATTGCCTGCTGAACTCCGGCCACATCTGAAAACATGGGTACAAGGAGCAGTACAATTCCGAGAAGCCAGCCAGGCAAAGCAGTGCCCCATTTGCAGGGCGCCAGCCACACCCAAGCACATCCTGTGGCTTTGCAAGTGGCACCAAGGGCAAGGACACGCCTATGCCACCAGAATGGGCGGAAAGAATCATGCACCATGACGAGGATCCTCTGTGGGCTGCGGGCTGGATTCCGCTCGAACCACAAGAACACCGGCGTGACGTGACCATCATCCCTACCAAGGACAAGCATGCAGCGAAGGTCATTGTTCAACTCACAACAGTCTGGGGGGCTTGGGCGAATCCAAGGCATCGACAGCCATACCTGGACTTGCTCGAGGATCTCACCGACCAAGACACGCAAAGGGTTACGGTCCTGTATGTGAGCCGCAAAACCCGGACCCCAGAGGCACCAGGCAATGAGCCACACCTCCGAAGAAGGCCTGGGAGCAAGCCAATGCCACGCACAACCGGCAGAACACTGAATGGCAACAAGCGCTAGACCAAGATCACAAGGTGGTATACCAGTGCAAAAAGCCCTGGGCTCCACCACATCACAGGTGGGAACCGCGTCGCAGCGGCTACCATTGCAGCGCTTGCGGCATCAGGCTGCATCAAGCCCTCACTGTGACGGTCATTGAAGACAGACTCGGGCAGGACTGTCCACAGTTGAGCAAGAACCATCCAGAACAACACAGTCCGACCAAGCCAATACCCCGAAGGCTCACTAGAGCCCAGGCGATCCGCAACATCCTAAGGAGCAGCACCAGCTAACCAAGGGCTACTTGAGGTGTGACAAATGTGGCTGCAGTGTTCACAAGCGCACCAACGAGGCAGCCTTCAATGACTTCATCAACAGCACCTGCATTGACCAAGCCCACGACAAAGCCCATGAAGGCCACGCAAGCCACAGTTTGTGGCAGAAGGGTGATCGTTTGTCCTGCAAGCTTTGTGGGCTCCAATTACACCTCGATGCACAGCGTCGAATCATCCTGACTTTGCAAAGGGTCAGGGATCAGTGGCTCTCCTCCCCTCAGCGAGATCTTCAAGCGGCAAGCCGAACAGCCAAGTCAAGCAGACTCCAATGCAAGAGAAGAGCAAAACCAGGCAACGCAAGCAACACCTTACCTTCACCGACACCGAGGCCCACCAGTTCTGAGGCACCAGTAGGCCATGATACCCAGCCACTTCTGGTGACCCCACCTCGGGCACACACACACACACAAGCGCCCACTCCGTTGCCTTTGGCTCCAAAGAAACTCTCCTTCACTGCTCGGAGTAGCACACCACTCCAGCAGGACCAAAGGGACCAGGACAGTGCAACACCATGGCCAGGACTGCACCGTTTCACACCTCCACTTCCCAAACCACCAATGGCCACGCTGGCAGGACGAGGCACCAGAAGAGGAGGCCCACACAGATGACCCCCTGCTCGAGCTCACAGACGAAAACATGACTGATGAAGAAAGGGCCACGTGCATGGAGGTCGAGTACTTCTGAAGCCAACGACAAAGAGCCCTACCACCACCGGCGGCCTGCAGCGGCCAAAGAGCCAGAACGTTCGTGCAGCAAAAGACACTTTAGGGAAAATACATACATACATACATACATACATGTGGGAATGGCAATGGCCGCAGTCATGGTGTACATGTGGGAATGGCAATGGCAGCTCACTGAACCCCATCTCTGGCACAGGGATCTGCAGGACTATGGCCCGGAAATGGAGCTCGATCTCACAGAGCCCTGGTGGAAGATTGAAGCTGTTTTGCAGCAGGAGGTCACCTACCAACGACTTCGACGACTCCGGCAACGCAAGAACTGCCACCACTTGAGAAACGGATTGGACTGGCATGTATACCACCAGCTCCAAACGCAAGGCTTCCAAAAAGCAAACCACAGCTATGCACACCTGGGTTCAGGGAGCCATTCAATATAACAGCCCTCATGGTGATGATCTTTGCCCTCTTTGCCAAGTACCAGCCACATCCAAGCACATCATCTGGCTTTGCAAATGGCACCATGGCAAAGGGCACCAGGCTCTTCCTTTGCCTTGGACGCAGCGGGTCAACAACCCTGATGAGGATCCACTCTGGGCGAGAGACTGGATCAACAAGGAGATCTACGACCATGACACTGAGCCAACCACTCTTCGTGGACACGGGCTTTGGCGAAGCCCTGGACTTAGCCGCAGACAATGGCTATGTGGTGTCCATTGACGCAGCCCCAACCACTTACGACACCAGATCACAGGGGTGGGTGTTTGCCATCTGCATTCACACTCTGAGTTTGGGTTGCAGCCATCACCGGCCTTCCTCCAGGGAAACAGAGCAAAAGCAGGGCCTTGTACTATGGCATGCACATTTTGGCCCAACACACCATGCAGGCCATCAAGCTTGTCACCCCTTCCGTTGCTGTATCAGCATCCCTTCCTGGACCTAGATGCTCTTCATGACCCGACACAGAAGAAGAAGGTCACAGCCTTGTACGTCAGTGCTCAAGCCAGAACACCGGACCAACCTGGCGCTGAACCTCACCTCCGACGCCGGCAGAGAGACGCACGACTGACGGCATGGGAGAGGGCACAGGAACTTTACAACAAGGCAAATGATGAATGGCAACAAGCCCTTGATGAAGAGCACTTCCAGGTCTACCAGTATGCCACCGAGTGCGTTTGTGCCATCTTCAATGACCCAGCACACTATATCCATGACAAGGCCAAACGCTCACAGGTACCACAAAGCAGTACAAGAAGCGTCTGGTGCAAAAGTGCAATGAGCCACCCACTGAAGAAGGTCACCACTGGACCAAGCACCGCAGTGGCTATCAATGTGCGCATTGCAGCACACGCATCCATCAAGGACTGACTGCAGCCACCATCAAGCAGAAGCTGCAAGAGCCATGCGATGGAAAGCATCAGCCTCCACCTGATGACCATGAGCCGGTGCAGCCAGATCGAAAGATCCCCAAAAGGGCTACCATGTGGCCATCTTGAAGAGGTCCAAAGAGACCACATGGACCGACTTCGTCAACAGCCCCTGCGTCGATGAAGCATACCAAGGAGAATCAGTTGGGCATGGCACCCACCTCTTGGCACCAAAGTCACCTGCAAGCACTGCGGCCTTGCGGTGTTGACTGACAAGAAAAACAGGCAGGAGATGCACACAGCAGCCAGCATCCGCCTCAGCTCCCCACGGCTCCCAGATCGGAGCCCAGCGCTCTCAGGCCAAGAGCCTTGTTCCCTGCTGAAGATGCAGCCCATGAAGAGCCACAGGCCGCTACTGAGGCCATGCCAGTCGACGATGATGTGGCTTACCACGTGGACTTCTTCTAGATGCAGCGCGGTGGCGGATGGCAGCACGGGTGAACAACACCCTTCGTGAAGCAGATGCAAAAGTCCCTCCCTAGAAAGAGAAATACATACATACGTCTTGCGTGGGATGCGATTCGGCCGATGACCACCACCCTGCCCGGCAAGGTGGGTGCAAAGGCTCATGTGCAAACAGACATGAAAAAGGACAAAGGTGTGTCAATTTGCAAAGCTGTGTCACACGTGTCAACAAAGCATGGCAAAGATAGACAAAAAAAAATCCAGGTGGGGCCCTTTATGATTCGTTACACTTGTTCCGACTTGTCCCCAAGAAGCTCCTGGTTGATCCAGCCTTTTGGTGTCTCCTTGGCATGGGAAACCACCTGAAACAATCGGGTTGAACTGGCGATTCACTGTTTTGGTCGCCCAATCTCTTATCATTTGCTTTCACAGCATGCCTCAATCTGGATATTCCCACGCTTCTCGGATGGTATTTCAGCCTGGCGAACTATTTTGGGCGAGATGCTTTACGAGGATGACATGTTTGCGGTAAATTTCTCAAGGCCTTTGAAGAGGTTTTCGAGAGGAATCTGTTGTCCGATGTTTTTTGGGGTTTGAGAACATGCCAAAAGTAGTACTTTGAGAACTTGCGCTGAATACCACTTGTAGCGTACCCATTGTCGAGGTAGAGGCAATGGACCCAAGGCCTCAGCTGGAGTCTTCCGTCAGCTTCCGTCTTTCCTTAATAAAAGACCCTTTTAAAATAACGGAAGAGAAGAAGCGAATTCGCCAACTCTTCCTCGCCTTCTTCTCTGGATAGTAGGAGGCAGTACTGCTGTTGGAAAGATTTGGATAGCCCAGAAAAGCCGCAAAGCAACTGGCGGTGTGGCGGTGGCACGGTTGGTGAAGGTGCAAAGCAAATGCGCCAAACTTTCATAGCGACGCTACGAACGTAGCTCCTGGCCTTACTAGTAACAAGAGGACGCTACTAGTAACAAAGGGCATCGCTACGAACGGAGCAAGGACGCTACTAGGAACAAGTGCCTTACTAGTAGTAACAAGAAGCTACTAGGAACAAGTGCCTCGCTTCTAGGAACAAGTGCCTCGCTAGTATTAACAAGTGCCTTACTAGTAGGATGGCGCTTTTAAAATAACACAGTCGACATTCTCATCGAATCACCCGACTCACTGCGCCTATCGAAGCAGCCAGCTTCTTGTGCATCTGCACACAGTGCCAAAATCAATTCCCTTCCGATGTTGTTCAACTTGACTCATTTACGATAAAAAGACAAGGCTGAACTGAAAAAAGGTGACTTGTTTCACGTTCATTCTCTTCAACTCTCTCTCTCTCTCTCTCTCTCTCGGGATTGCACTTGCTGTCCGATGAAAGCTTGGGCGGCCAAAGAGCACGCTGGCCCGATTCTCAGAACCAGTTGATCTTTTCTTCCAATACTTTGTATGACCGTGTGAGACACCACCAAAGCACTTTTCCACAAAGCTAGAGCACGTTTACTTAAAAAAGCATCCACTTCTTCAAGACAAACAGCTGACTCACGGCTGGTTAAGTTTGGCACTTTCAAATATGTCGAAGTTTCTTTCATTGTCTCCTGGCCAAGTTTGTCGTTGCAAGTATATAAAGAAAGACCCATTTCCGACCTTACACCCTTTTCAAACATCCGTCCTTGGCTCGGTCGCTCTGTGGCGGGTCGTGAGCCACACAGCTGCAAAGCAAAGCAAATTGAAAAAGAATCCAAACAAGGAACTTCACGCTTCCAAACTGGGAGCTCGAGCAATCAGAGCAATCCATCTGCACCTGAGTACCTCCTTGTTCCCCACCACAGCCCGAAAGACGACCAAGCAGCCGGAGAAATTGCTCCAAGCCCTGTGGTGGAACACTTCGAAGATGGCTTGGCGCTCCCGGATTTGCGCCCAAACAGTCCACTTCGAGTAAGCGCACCAGGCCAAGTTGTTTGCCCCTCTCCGGTACTGAGCCGAGTTGGACATGTGAACTGGTACACACAAGGGAGGCGCCATCCACACCAACGACATCTCTTCAACCACTTCTTGAATGTTTCTAATAGCAAACATTGTTACTACTAGTAAGGCACTTGTTACTACAAGCGATGCACTTGTTACTGGTAGCTTCTTCAACCACTTCTTCAGGTTGTGGTTGTAGATCGCAAGGTTCCAATGCCCCACCGCTGGGTTGAAGACCCGCCCAAGTGTCCCACACCGATCGCCTCCTGATCCTTTTGCCGGGCCCTTCCCTCGCCTTTTCGGAAAGGTTCCTGAAAACAGAAACGATTGAAGGCAGATTGCGATTGAAGGCGGAGACACTCGTGGAGAATGATGACCTCCATTGCCAAAACATGGAAGGGCCAAGTGGCTCCAGCTATTTGCGATGCGCACACGTTTCTTTTTGGCAAATCCCGACGGGTCTTTTCCGTGTGCAACGGTTCCGACAGGTTCCGACGGTTCAACTCTGCCTGGCACTCTCTCAAGTTCTGAAACGCTCCAACTTTTGACCTGTTCTCTCCAACTTTTCGTCTCCAACTCCCAAATACGAAATGAGCAAAACTCAAGTTTTGGGAAGAGTTCGCTGTTCCACTGTTTGCCTGACCGAGGAGACCAACGAGATCCACGACAAGGAGGAACTACAATGACTTTTTTAGCTAGTCGCTAAAGTAGGCCGCTAGTCGCTTAAGTAAGCTTCTTGGTAGGACGGTAGCGAAGACGCTTCAAGGAAGCGCTCGCACTTGATTTGGTTCTTAGATTTTGAGGGAAACTGAACCAACCTTTCACAACATGATTATGTCGACATGGCTGATGAGCTACCCAAGAAAATGAGATCTCGCACCTGAGCCTGATCAAAGCACATGGGTCTCAGCAGTGCATGTTGGTGGTAAGAAAGGTCCCTACACCTATCCTTTGGTAAATAAGTATGGCGAGGGGCCTACGTTGAAAGGGATGGTGGCTCTGCCGGGGGCTTGAGAAAAGAACACAGCGACTCTCCCAAATGCCCTCCACGTGCTTCTATGCTTGCTTAAAATGGACACCGGCACCAAGCAGTCCTGGACTGGCGCTGTTCTTGTGTCTCTTGTTCTTCCTTTTCCTTTCTGTTATGTTCTTTTTATTACTGTAGTTTTGTCATTTCTTTTTGCCTTTCTTCTCTTCTCAAGCCTTTCTTTCCGTTGATCCCTATTTGTGTGTTTGATCTTTACGTCTTTTTGATGATGCCTCTTGCAGCTGCGTTTGCCGAAAGCGTCTTACTTCCAAAACCCTTGTTTGTGTTTTGAAGGGTCAGTGAGGTGTATTTTGAAAGACTAAATTCACTTAATACTGGTCTTCTCCTTCTTGTTCTTCTTCTTCTTCTTCTTCTAGTTCTTCTTCTTCTTCTTCTTCTTCGTAGGCACCTACATAGCTGAGAAGGGGAGAAGTTCGCTACCAGCAATGCTTAAGCTTCTAGCAACTGAACGCAGGATAGCTCACGCTTCTTCAAGAAGGAAGCTCCCGCCAGTGGGGAGCTTCCTTGAAGAAGCGCTGGCACCAATGTCAATGTAATTGTTTAATTGTTCTTTCCGCAGGATTCAATCAAAGACCTCGATCTGGGTGAAACTTGCTGCCACAATTTTCGCTCTCAATGGGGCTTCATACCCGTCTTGTGTTGTAGGACCTCCAAGCACAAGAAGAGGCGGAATATGGAGTTTTAAGAAAGCGTCTAAAAGGGAACAGAAAGCGTTTTTCATTGCGATCTTGCCTGCAAGCTAGGCACTTTTGTCCAAGGATGTGAAATTCCACTGAGGATGGCTGCTGGCAATCATTGCCTCAGACATTCCGTCGATACTTTGGACTCGGAGGATAGGCTGCCTTGTAAGGGAGAGCGAGTGGGAAGTGTGGTCAAATGCTCTGAAAAAGGAGTTTCAAACAACGAAAAGAAGATCTTTTGACTGAAGTTTGGCTCCACTTTGGGCACAGTCTTTGTTTTCAAGTAAACATTAAAAAGAAACAACACGCCCATAGACTAAGAAGAACAACACGCCGTACAAACCATCCCCACCGACAACAAGGGCCACCACCAGAACATTACTACCAGACGCACTAAACCAGACACACTACCTCTCTACGCAATGAAAATTGCTAAATTTTATGTCATGCACATTTCTTCTACCAGTACAGTAGCGAATTAGTTTCCGAAAATTGCGAACTATCGGGGTGCAATGTGGACCAAATACAACGGGACTCACATCTGATTTCGGTTAAGTTTCCCCCCAAGCTCTCTGGAACCAAGTGAATAGTGCGAGAGTTTTTTGGGGGGAACCTACCTCATGGCCTAAAAACAAACATTTAGTCTTAGTAGAGTCCACAAGAGTCCACAAGTCGGAGCGGACAAGTTGGAGCCCCAAAAGCCAGCAGGATGCTGTTTGCGCGACTGAGCAGAAGAACTAGTGAGGGACTCGGATGCCCACCACAGCGTATTTTTAGATTCAGCTCGCCACCATGAGCGTTTCTCTCAAAAGTTGAAACTGCAGCAAAGTGACAACTGATCTTGATCTGCTGCCTGGCCGCACAGATTCCGCTTAGAGAGATGGGAAACGCGAAAACAGTGAATTGAAAGTTATTCGCGTTTCTATTTCTACCTTCTTCTTAAAAAAACAAGATGGAACCAACGAACCCGAATAAACGCACGTGCCCTATACAATTTTTAACACTCGTGTGGCATTCTGCAAAGATGGACAATCTGGGGTGACACTCTTCTGTAATCTCTTATAGGACAGTGTTGTGGGACACCTTTTGGGGAGCACTCTTGTGGCACAGTTCTGTAGGAAACTCTTGGGAGACTCTTGTAGGAGACATTCTTGTGGGACACTCTTGTGGGACACTTTGTGGCGACAAGTCGCTCACAAAGGCACGCTGCGTTTACACACGCATGTGTCCCGCTCCCCAATGGCACGTAATTTCGCCACACCGCACACCTTTGGACCGAACTGGCGCCAAAAGCCTCAAAGTCCAAAGCGAGAACACGACATTCACTTCCACCCGACCCTCACGATTCCACGATTCCGAAGCAGCAAACACCCAAACGCCGTCCTGACCTCACGAAATGGTGGATTCTTGTGAGTCCCCCATGAAAAACCGCTTCGCTACACGTTCAAGTTGGTTCAAGCGAGGAACCTGGCTTCTTCGACTCCTTCGACTTCGAACCCAATGATATCTGCCTGTATTCAAAAGGCATTGGCGTCTCCTCGATCTGCCGGTCAATCTCGTGCCACAGATCGTCGCAGCCGTAGAGAGACACCTGACTGACCCCGCTTTGAAGAAATGCAAAAAAACACACACCAGAAACTGTACAAAACGCAGTCTTTCACACGCGTTGCTTGGGCGGATTTAGTATCACTTGGAGTGCTGATACGGGCACGCTGCATATGGGGCACCGCAAGGACTGCAATCCTGAGCTGACGCGCACACAGGCTGCGCACATGCAAAAGCAGATTCTGCCTGCAAACGACATTTGCAATTCCCGAAGGCAGTCCTGTCGCTAAGCAAAACAAACATCGCCAACATCTGAACAAAACGCGTTTCACTGCTTGACCTGGTGAATGGTATGGCCGCATTGCAAGATCGTGACTTGCGTGACCGATTGAAAGAGATCCTGCAAGAGACACTCGCTCTTTTGTGCAGAACACAACAAAAGCATCAGGTGCTTGAATGTCCGCTTTCTTTAATTAACAATGATGGGTTGGTTGTGTGTCAAACAAAAATTTGGAAATCCATTTTCCAAAACTAGTTCACTCAAAAACATGACTCCCAGCATGATCAATGTCTTGAATTCCTGCAAGCACACCGGGCAGTTTCTTCGCATTGCATTCTCCACGCACGTGTGCGAATCTTTGATCTCGGCGGGGTAACCTGAAAGAAAAAAGAGCAACCGGCAGGGTAGCACTTGCAGCACTTGCACGGGGCGTTGCACGGTGGCCGTTTTTGGGTCCCAAAGGCCCTTAAGGCCGTACCCCTTGCGCTTGAGGAACGTCAAATTCTACCCCTGGTTCGCGTCAAGCTTAGGATCCGGCAGCTTCCACAAGCATCACAGTGAACTTGGATCAATCTCAAAGCACTCGCATTAGGAACAAGTGCCTCGCTTCTAGTAACAAGTGCCTTACTAGTAGTAACAAGAAGCTATTAGAAACAAGATGCCATTGCCGTGATCCAATCTCACTGCTCAAGTGTCGTGCAATAATTGTCGCGACCTCCGACGCGGCAAATGCCGCATTTGTCGCAATGGAAGACTTGCTTCCTGATCCCATCCTCATTGAATTTTAAGGTGCATATCTTCGGGTGACGGCAGTTTTACTCAACATCTCAGCAGTTGACATCGTCCCAAAAGTTGCATTGCTGGCAATAATATGAAGAAAAGTCATGTCCTCAGCATCTCGATCATTGGAAATGAAGGAAGACAGGTGTCTGGACCAAGGTGCCACAAGCATCGCAGCTCCTGGCACTGTCGTCGCAGACATTTCGCTTATTGTTTCTAATAGCGAACCTTGTTACTACTAGTAAGGCCCTTGCTCCTAGTAGCGATGCACTTGTTCCTAGTAGCGAACATTGTTTCTATTAGCAATGTCGTCTCTGAGAGCTCTGCTGTGCAGGTTTCTGTTGGTGATTGCACAGCTGGCAAATCACCTGCCACGGATTATCCGTCATAAATCCGCCTTTGAAGGCTGGACTCAAAAGGTGCCTCAACGATCTGTGCTCGGTTGATTTCGTGCGGCCAGCTGCTGCTGCTCGCTGCCTCTGTACAAAAAGCTGAGCCGGACATGCTAAACAGAAAATGAGTCGGTTGCTTCATTGTGGCAGTGACGGCACCAGTAGACCTGGCCACAACACCTCGCTAAAAGGCTGAAAGAATGGATTCGGGATGAACTAAGATCAACACGAATGTAATTGAACTAAGATCAAAACGGAGACACGATTTTGCAGCGTCTCCTGGAGACTCGACTTTAAACATATTCAGCTGAATCTTGTTGAATCATGTCAATCATGGCAACAACCACCTGTAGTGACGGCACCCAACGGAAGACATCCGCAAAGGTTCACGGTCACCGTTGGGCATGGCATCATGCGTTGGATAGCATCGGGAACACAAGAAACACACTGAGTCAACAATGAATGTCAAATTGATTGTTGTGGGGTATGTTGTGCGCATTGGAACATGTTGGCATCAACAAACAACGGAAGTTGTCACTTCCAACATTGGGAACAGAATCTGCTTTTAAAAAAATTGGTGTGATGCTTCTGGATAAGGAAGGGGACACAAACCCAATGAATCCTCTGCCCCTGCATCTACCAAATTGTTGGGCCAATGCATGTGAATGTCGGCGCATTCAAGACCATCAACAGAAACTATTCCCACATCCAAACAAAGGTGTCCGACACTGAAAACCAATGTGGCATCGAAAGGGTTTGTGCAATTCGTAGTTTCACGTTTCGTCTTCACATTTTAGCGCAGACTTCGCGGACCAAATTGAAAAAATTGAAGAAAACATTGCCATGGATCATGCACAAAGGCTGTCGTTTGTTCTTAGTCGTGAACAGGCCAAAAAACACAAGTATATATAAATATGCAAGTTCCATTTTTGAAGTTGCTAGCTCGTACATTGCATCTCATACTGTGTTTCCCAAAAAAATGTTATTGGCGAAGTTTTGCCAAACCTTTTTTGGGTCCCAAGTCTTTCGGACAATGCAATCTACCATGGCACGGGCGTCAACTTGCATGTCTCCAATAGTCTGAGCTTCTTTGGTCGCCACATTTTGTCAAATTTCCGTCTGATTTCACTCACATGAAACTGATCGCATCACGCTCTTTTTCTCTTGCGAGTCGAAAGGGTTGCGACTGTGGTCTCTCCCCCTTTGGTCACTCGCTTTTGTTCCATTACGACGCACTGGACAAGATATGTGTTTGGTGTCTTGACAAATTCACATTGAAGCTGCGTTCCTTTTCAACGAGGGATCAGCCGAGCTCTTCTAGGCCCAGGGTTTGGCCTGTATGTTCACGAAGTGATACTCGAGGTGTGGGGGTGTGAGCATTTTGAAAGAAGTGTGACCATTTTGGTTGATTCAAGCCCGCCTCGCCCGCCTTTGAGATTAAATGTCACAAAATGAGCTCTCACATTGCAACACGCCCAGAAAAACCTTAAGTTTTTCTTGAAACACTTAGTGACAACTTCGTCACCTTCAGTGAAGCTAGTCGTCACTTATGTGTTTGGTGTCTTGACAAATTCACATTGAAGCTGCGCTCCTTTTCAACGGGGGATCAGCCGGAGCTCTTCTCCCCACTTTGTCTTTCGGATGAGCCGACCTGTTGGTCAACAAATGCACACAGTTCGCCAAAAGCACTTCTTGCAGCGTCAGATCTTTTCATTTCCTCCTTCAGCAAGTCTTGACGGAAAGTCACTCAGGTTCGCTTCGGTCGGCACTCTGACTCTGGCATACCAAGGGCGTGCGTCGCATTCAACTTCAGCTTGGAGATGAAACTTTAGGAGCGCAGTGGCCCATGCGCCAGTTCCACTTGCACGGATTAAAGCGAATCTCATGCTATCGTTGTCGCCAAATCACGTGATCAAATTTTCTCTCAATTTCGTTTTCCGGAGCGGCTGAGCCAGTGCCCAATGCGGTGATTGGACCGTTGAGTGCCACTCCCGGTCAAGTTTGCCACCACGACACAATGTTGCATCGACGGCCAAACTGTTCAGATTCTTGCAACAGACCCCAATCTCTTGCACCTGGTGACTGCCCAGCTGGTCCCATGGTTGGAAGCACAGCTTGCTAACAAGCTTTTTGAGTTTGCGTGCCCAGATTGGGCATTTCTTGCGACACGTGTCGTGAGCGTCCCAACACCCACTGAAGGTGCTGCACGTGCAACAGGCTCAGATTTCTGCAGTCGCAGCCTTTCGCAAGCGCATCCCTGTACCTGACTTTGATCCCAGCCTTGATTTCCGAACCTTCCGAAGTTCCGTTTCTGTTTTGAGCGCCTTTACACTGCCTCTGAATCCAGTCCTTGCAGGAAGTGAGAAGGATTCAGAAAAGAAAGAACGGAACTTTGTGTTTCGAATCTTTGTAGCTTTTGGAGTGTGAATGTTTCTTGAACAGTTTTGCGCATGTTTGAGCGCGTTTAAGCTCGACACTTTCAGTGTCTCGCATGGGAATTGCTTGGAAGCAGGAATACTTCATAGCCTTTTGTACTTTACTTTGGCTCAAGACTTGAGCGCTGGCTCAAGGTGCGCGTAAAAGTGGTGCGAGTGCTTTCGCTTTGCTTGTGAGCTGTTGCACGTGCTTTCGTTTTGTGTTTAAAACGTTTGCAATCTATTTGCTTAAGGTAGTAGGTTTTTCAGGGATAAGCTTGAGTTCCCGGTCAATGACTTGCATTTTTACTTTCCGGTGTAGGTACTATCTGCATTCTCCAGGAGGTGTTGATTGAAAAGGAAGCGACCAAGGCCTTTCGGGGGGAGGCAAACTTTATCCTCACCAGTGGCACTTAGCCTGTCCACGCTTACCTTCACTTGCAACACTCTAGACCGGAACTTCTAACCTTAATCTGATTTTTTGGACGTCAGCATCATGGTACGAACGGCTCGGCATAGCCATGTTTTGATGGCTGCATGATCATCTGCCATGCTTCTAGCTAGGCAACTACTCTCAGCGATCGGGCACCAATGCCAACAGCTGAACTTTGCGCAAGCAAATGTACAGGAAGGACTTGGGCTGAAACAACCAGGCAATTCCGGGGGCAATCCCTACATCCTTACAGCGGCGTGGGATGTCAAGCCTGATCAGTGGATATGGCCTACCATGCCCGACACCCCGAGCTGCGAGCGAATACATGGACAAGCTGAGCTCGCGCAATGCTATCACTGGGGTATCCTGCCAAACTCAGCCGTGCACGGAGTATCAAGATCCGGTGTCAGCTGAACAGTGGAGAGAGTGGGCTCACCAGATAGGAGTTACTACTGAGTGTTCCAACGAGTGGAACAGATACTGCCACCATAGCACACCGCGGCGCGCAACGCAGCTGGCGGTCAAAGCGCGCAAAACTGCACCGCCCAAAAGGCACTCCAGACAATGGAGCGCCAAACTGATCATCAGGACAGAGGAGCGGCCAGCAGGACAGAAAATACACTGGAGGACAGAGGAGCTGCCAGCTCTTCTTCCCTGTCTTCGTCTCAACAGAGCCGTCTAAACCGATCCCCTGCACCAGCAATGCTGTGGCTGGCTGGTTATCCGACGGTGACCTCAGTCACTGTCGAATCCCTTGCGCCGGCAATGCTGAGGCTGGCTGTCGACGGACGGTGACCTTAGTCACTGTCGATGTACAGCTACCCTGTACAAAGGCGTAGGCTACTCTGTTTCACCGTTTCTTGAACAAAGGCTACTAGCTTCGATGAGCCAACTGGACGGTACTTTTCCATGCTTGCAGGAAGTTTTCGGAGCCCTACATGGCCTGATGACTCGCATCCAATAAGAGCCTCGGCAGCTGCATGTTTTCAGTAGCGCAACTTCCTGTCGCCTAGCACTGCCATCTGTCCAATTGCATCGTGTGGCCGTGCAGGGGCCCCCTTGATGTCCTGCCTCCTCCCCGTCAGGGGGGAACGGCGCCCTGCCTTCCGGGCAGATGCGTATCGACGACAACCACACGCCGCACATGTCACTGTCACTTAAGAAGCCTCAGTGATCAGCTGTCCCCCTGGAATGACTTAGCGTGCAGTCCCAGGAGACTTCACAGGCACACACTCTTGCTTTCCGAAAGCAACACCATGACATCGTCTTGGTAAATCCCTCGATGCTTACAAGTTGTCGCGATATACGCTTCTCGCATAGACTGTCCACTTTTGTGAAAACACGGAAGCGCAAGCCTCCCCTTTTTAGATCCCGCTCTTGGGCCAAACATCACAGTCGGTTTGACTGTATCGAAGTCCCTCATCTCTTCTTCTGAAGAGGATTGACTGGTCGCAGTCGTCCAAAACGTGTAAAAAGAACAAGAAAGCATCTCCAAACACTCTCAAGCTATTCCATACTATACACAGCTCTACACAGCTCTAGCCAGGGCTTTTCTAAAGGTTCACATTCCACCATGTCCTGCTAAGGAGGCCAAAGAGAACACACTCCAAAAAGGAAGATCCCTACTCAGCTCCAACCCCAAGGACAGAAAAACGAAAAGTTCCACTACAGACAGGTACTAGGTGATCCACACACTGTACAGGCGTGCTACCCACACTTTTCACACCCCTTCTTGGGTCACCTCCTACTTCTGGCTCTTCCTGTCTTCTTCTTCTCTTCTATTCGTTTTTCTCTGAGCAACTAAGGTTCGAACATCAACTAAGATCTCAACTCCTGTCCTCCAAAATGATCTCTAGGTCGATCAAACGTCAACAAAACCCAGGACGACAAGCTTCAAGCAAGTCCAAACTCAATCAACCAAGGTCAAACACGCAAGACAACAAGGTCAACAGCCAAAGATCCCTGAGAGAGCAAGTCTTCTGGAATCTCACAGTGATGATTCCTATCAGCTGCTTTCCTCATCCTTGGGATCTTGAAGGCTCAACGCTTTCAAGATGGTACCTGACAGGTCGAAACGACAAACGAGTCACGTGAAGGTTCCTGCCAGGACAAAAGTGCACAAGAGCGCAAATCGACATCAAGTGGAACAGAAAAGAAATCTAGCCAACCCTTTTATTGCTCACACTCCACTCCTCTTAGATAAACCCTGTTAGTTACAGGCGACTGCAATCCAGATCTTAGATAACCCCTTGCAGACAGCATCAACTCTCAAGTACAGGTATTCTTCTCACAAATCTTTAGTTACAACTCTTGCTCTCGCAGATTCCCAGTCTCTCGCCTTATCCACTGGTCTCCTTGCAAGACAAAAAGAAATGAACAGAATCTCAAAGACTTGATCCTCTAAGAGTACACATCCCTTGACTCACACAAGATGAAAACTGTCACAAATCTCAATCTATCCAAGTCCAATTCAACAAAAACTGGAAATCACTGCTGAAACCACAAAAGGATACAACCCGAGTACACTTCAAGAGACTCAAATGACTCTCGCACAATCTCCCTCTTTTGCAAGCTGGGCGCAGATCCAAAAACAATTTTCTCTGA